AAAAGTACGAATTTATCATTGTGATTGACATTAATTAAACGTTCCTCAAATTTTAATATCTATTTAGAAATTTCCTATAATATGGGGTTCAAATCCCACAAACATATCTTTCACCATACTATCAAGCTTATTTTGTCAACCCTCCTGTTTTATGTTTTCGATTAGCTACAGCCAGGCTTACTTTATTCTACATATATTCTTTTGACATGTGTAAATTTGCAATATTTGTTTGTTATATATTTGTAAAAATGCAAAAGAAAAAGAAAATCAAACAGAAATAAATAAATCAAAATCAAATCGAACCATAGGTCCCCTCCTGTATATCACTCTTCTATTTTGTTCAATCTTCTAATTCAATGCTTTCAAACAAATGGATATGAGATACTCACTTGCTGTTGTTTTGTCTCTTACTATTAAATGAATTCAGATTTATTTGTAGCATATATTTTGTGAAATCATAGCAAAATATGAAAAATGTGTAAAGTATGAAACACAAAACTATAATTAAAACTTTTAGGGAGTAGATATCAGCATTCTTCATGATTACTTAAGTTACCAAAAGAATGCAATTTCACATTCCTTACTTGTTATCACTATCAGATTCTTACATTTCTTCATCATTTATTTACTAATCTACTGATTCATTTACAGTTGATTAATCAACGTTCTATATTACACAAAGAGATTTTCCCGTATTAGCGCTATATAAGTATAATTTTAAAATTGATATATTACTGTAATTGTTATTACTATTGTTATCATTAACATTATTACTATTATTATAAATATTATTATCATGATTATTATTGTCATCATTATTGTTATTATTATCATTATCATTATTATTATCATTATCATTATTATTATGGAGTGGAATGACCCTAGAGAAATGAAAAAATAATGAATCACTCAAAGGGATCGGGTAACAATGTCTCAGATTCTGAAACAAAATCCTGGATTTAGCTCATGATGCAAGGATAATTATAAACATTAAGGTCAGTCAGAAACCCCATGACTTTTACAAGCCGATCACCTGTCTGATTATCAAGATATTTATGATTGAAAATCGAAATAAAATCTTGCGTTTTCCTAACGGTTTTCATAACACTAAAGTCTATTGGGGAAAACAAATATGGTAAAACCGGTCACTAAAAGATTTTTTTACTTTTTTTAGGCATTTAATGATCATTTTGAAGCGCAAATTTTTAAGGTTATTCAAGAGCAGCTGGTCTTCATTGGTGACCAGAAAGAAGAGGAAGGAGAAGTTAGTAGCAATAGAAGAAGAAGATGGAGGAAACAAGACAAAACAAAACAAGAATAAAAATAGTATTTAAAAAAATACGGTATTAATCATTATGTATGTATTATGACTCTTATTAGTGGTAATATTCCAGCATTATTGATTAGAATATCAATCCCGCCATGTCCAATCTCTAAATAAGTCCGTAGCTTTCCGATCGTTGACTGATCAGTGACGTCAATAAGATGAAACTTGGGATCGAGTCCCTCTCTCGGCTAGGCCACGACCTTCTTTGCGCGCAGTCAAGTAAACCACGCCATCTTGTCCAAAATGGCGGCAAAGAGCTCGAACAATCTCCAGACCAATACCCTTATTGGCACCTGTTTGCTAAAACAGACATGCGATAATGAAAATGCCCTCTATAAGGTAAGAGGGTAACCATACAAAGGAGATTGATTATTATTAACAAGTCAATGCAAATGACATTTTGTACATCATGGATAACAAGTTCAAGATGTTTGGCAGTTAAGCAAGTAAATTAGAATATTTAAACATAATTATTACCAAAGAAGACTTAAGGCGTTTTGAAAGAATTATTCATATGTTGTCTGATGGTATATTCATGCGTTCGATTTCTTTAAAGAGTTCAAACAATACTATTGAGGACCCCAAAACAGTATAGCTAAATGACCGAGGGTTCACGGTATGAAATAAAAAAACTCATGCTTATGCTCGAAAACTTTATGTACCTATTTCCTCAAAGAAACCGATTTGCATTTAAGGATGCAAGGCTAAATAATTCACATGTCGGATGATCAGTTGGTCCAAACGTATCTGATATTGACCATCATAGTTTGAACACCCTAAATACTTATCCGATGCATTAAGCAAGAGCAATTGGAAAGCCCATAGATCTTACTTCCAGATAGATATTATGAATAACAGTTCTGATAATTTTTCTATGCGATTTGAACTTCTCAAAGGTGGGGAAACAAGGTACATTTAGCTTACCACTGCAACGCGAGGCGACATATTGTTTCCATCTACGAAGAAGCGAACTTCGAAATAGCACACACTCTTCGTACAGCCATTTCGTGAACAAAATCTATACATTTTATAAAATAAACGTCGCTAAGCGGCAGCTTATCAAAAGGACGCCCTCTGAGCGGGGAAAGCAACTATGATAAATTACGTTCTAAAACATACGATGTAAGACAACGTGGAAAAATAAACAGAGTTTATTAGCAAAGAAGAATGAGTAAATGACAAAGGAAGATAAAGAGAGGGACAAAGAGAAAAATAGAGGTAGAAAGTCAGAGAGAAAAAGAGGAAGAGACAAAGACAGAGACAGGCCGAGGGAGAGAGTAGGGCAAGTTTTTTTTTTTTTTTTTTGGGGGGGGGGGGGGGGGGGGACTTTAGTTAAAGACATCATACTGTGGTACTGGCAGGGCGGGGGCCAATGATATTTTGACGAGCAAAAATGATTTAAAAATAAGTGAAAAAGAGTGAAATGATTTTCTGGTATGATCGCTATTTTGGTGACGAAGCAGAACAGATTTATTTATGAGCATTTGTAATATGATTAATACCATACTTCCAATGTAAACAAGTAAGTAGTCGCTATTGACAACTTTGACGCTATATGAAAACGTAAGCAACTATGGGCATGTGCCCCCATACAAAAATATCATCGAATGGCGAAAAAACTCACAGAAGTCACCCATAGGGAGGAGATATAAAAACAGATCGTGATCGAGATTGTAGGAGAGAAAAATGGATCGATGTGCTAACTAGCGATTATAAACGCGCTTTATCAAGAATCATCCTAAAAGTTATTATTATTTTCTCTCTCTCTCTTTCTCTCTCTCTCTCCCTCTCTCTATTTTTTTTTCTCTCTCTATCTCTGTCATTGACTTTGTTCTCTTGTTGTCGCCCTCTCACCTCACCCTGTTTCTCTCTTTTTGGCGAATATTTTTTGTTCAACTTACTATAGCGTTACATCGTAACATCGTAAACTGTTGCCTGTTGTCAACTCATTTACCCTGTACAGATTATTCTAATCCTGCAATGAAAAGTGTCCAATTGTTTAAAAAATGAAATAGGAAGAAAAAGATGATATGAGTATGAACTGAATTTCAACAAAGTCTTTGGTAGATTATCCTTGTCATGAATATTGAAGGAGAAAGATGAAACCTAACATTCCATAGAAGTGTGAACTAAAATTCTTGTTTAGTCTGGACTTAGTCCAGGCTTAGGTTATGAGAATATCACCCTATGTGTATAATATTCTATGTTGAAATTAGCCTTGCTTTAAAGGCACAATGTCCTACTTGTAGCTACTTGCTCCCTCTATATAGAAAACTTCCCAAATTGGTGCCTGTTGGTCCCCCATGATCCTCTTTTTCTTATGTTAAATAAGAGCTGAGTTGGCTCGCTGTGTGGTCTAATCCCTTCTAGCTGCAGTATTAACGCCTACCTTTAAAAAGATATTTTGAACAGTTTCCACCACATCGATTCCTTAAAATCTGGTACATGTCATTAAAGGGTGTTTTTTTTAATAATAAAACGAGATAAACTGAAAAGAATCAATATATTTTCTCTTGCAACTAGTGGGAGCCATTTTTCGCAAAATGACTGTACTTTCTCAAAATAAATACATGTACGTATAGGTCTACATAAACATTGGTTTTATGATAGTCATTGTAATGATCAAAGGCCGGATCGTCAAAGACCTAGTTCGGAATCATTGCAGCAGTCAATAAAAAGTTTCTTTTTCATGTTCAGATGCTACTTTCAGTGATTAACCAAGTGAGAGGTAACTTAGTGGTCAACGATGCCCATATGTGTGCGAAACAGGGGAGGGGGGATGCCCCCCCCCCCGATTAAGATAATTTTGTCTAGTGTATTTTGACGATGAAATCATATATTTTATCTAACGAAAGTGCGTTTTCTCACTCTCGGAACTGGAAAGCTAATCAAATCCACATCACATCACCCCCGCTTAAACGTTGTCGTATATCTATGATGGTGCGTATTATTTTATTGATGTAACTTTTTGTTATTGCTTAAACAGGATGCCTGAAACTCAATCGCAAGAATTAAAACAATAAATAAAGGGCAACCTCATTAGCCTTGTCAGTCACCTTTGAAATGTTCGAACATGAAAATAACGCATTACGTCCTCCAAAAATGCCTTCTGAGGAATACATAGTCATGATAATAGGGTAAACTGGCCACGGATTCAATTTTTCGAAAATATTACCGATCATGTTCTTGTAAAGTGAAATTAATTGAATACCTCGTCGTTGAATTAAGAGAAGAAAGTGCGCATACGTATACACCACAAATTACCTATAGGCGGTGGAGGATAGGTATATAGCTCAGGGCAGTAAGGGCACTGGAATCATGGCGGGGAGGTGTGTGTGTGTGTGGGGGGGGGGAGAGGAAAATATGTGAATAAAATGGATAAAGTGCGAGTTAAGGAAGGGGGTCCAATCTCCCCTCTGGTTTGTTCTCCCCTGCAATTATTATTCCCATAGCCTTGCCAGATACCAATTTTATACACCTGAGTCGAGAGGGACAATATTTGTTAATTACCCTATTCAAGGATGGAAGTTCGGGCAAGGATCGAACCAACAACCTCTTGTACGATACTCAAGCGCCGCTTACAATATAACGCAGTTCTCCCGTTATATTCAGTACAAATTACAAGTACTCTCATTATAACGAACACAAAAACACACAGAACCATCTCGGAAACCACGAGTTAAAGATAAAATTTTATTTGCATGATTCCCAATTTCCACTCCACAAAAATTATCAATGACAAACAAATGATATATTACCCAAGCTATACATCAATGAAATGGCACAGGGATAGACATTGTGGATTTTTTCTTCTTTCAATTTTCTTTCAAGGACAAAAACAAAAATAAGGAACTAACACTTGATATTTTATGAAACTCAGTTTTTTTCATTTATTTGTTCAAGTTATTTTTGACTTTGTCATATAAAGGACACTGCATTTTTAAAAATCATCTTAGGATTTATATTGAAAAAATTAAGTTATTACAAACATGAAACTATACCGATTATAATATACAGGTCCTGCACAGTCCATGTAAAAACTTTATATTTCTATGCACTTTAAGGAAAAAACAGAAGGAAATATGATCTGAAATGAGAAAAACATGACATATGGTTATCATGCAAATATGTAGGGGCATTTCCTTTCTTACACTTATATGCAATATTAGATGTTACTAATGGACATGAAAAACAGAAGAAACGTTTAACACTTGATCTTTACAACACTACGATAACAGAAGTTCATACAATTTATGAATCACTTGCGTACTTATAGATGAGATTTAACATCGCCATTGAAAGTGTGTGTTTTTCTTTCTTTTGAAAAACAACTTGTCGGATATAAATCAGTACAATAACAGCAATCTGTACACAAAGTCAAAACTCTTTCGTTAACACACCAACTGTGCATTTTCACTTTGCTGCCCCCTTGTGGTGAAAATTAAATTTCCACAATTATCCCAATTATGTTAAGGATTCATAAAACGCTCTTTTCTTCACTTTATAACGTAATAATTGGTCTAACATTGAAATATAACAATAATAATTTTTTTAAAAAATCAAGGAATTTTGGTTAGGTAAACAAATGAGCATCCTACCACACGCTTGCAATTCAAAGTAAATTTAGTAAACGGAATTGTACTCTCTCATTTTGGGATAAGTAGAGAGACTTAAAGATATTGTTTTTAGTTTTTGTTAAGGATATTCGTTAAGAGTTTCAATAAGAATGAAATTAGCGCTCAGTGATGAAAATATATATTTTCACGATATTTTCATCTTTTTAACTGTGTAAACTGGTCGCATGTCCTTCCACTGCATCGCAAATTAAGTTACCTTTTTAACGAAGACGATACATTATGATACTTGTAAAGAAAAAACACTCTAAAATAAGTGACGAAAATTATAATTTACATTGTTTCCATGGAGACATGAAGGGAAGTGATACCTTTAAGTATTTTTGATATTAAATTTAAAACACTTGCCTAATGTGACTCCTAATTTCCTCTAAGATAATGAAAAGACAAGGATTAGTTGTTCCCATCTTTTCATGGTGAATTTTGAGACAAAACCTCTTCAGCAACTATGGCATGATAACTTTGAATGTTTCCCACCATGTTTGGCAATTTAAAATTACATGGAAAAGCTCTTAAGGCAATGTGAATTCTATCCAGAGTGCATATTTGCAAACCACTTTTTTGTAAATTGATACAAGGTACTAAGCAAATTGTTTTGGCCTGGGTCATATTAATCTTTGAAGCACATGGCTGTTGTTGATTAGGTATCATGATACCGACTCACAGTAGAATCGTTAATAAGGTGCTGGTTATATAGGCGAGGTTTTGTAATAAACGAAAAACATGATTGCACGATTGCAAATAATAATAATACATGGCACTGTGTAAGAGTTTATTTGCGTTCTTATAATACCTAGCAGTTTAGGAAAAAACACGAAATTAAAGCAACTGAATAAACATGTTTAAGAAAAAACGCTTTGCTAGTAACGACTGGTCAAAGTGATTACAATATTATCATCCTTATTTTTATGATGATGATTAAAGACCCTTTTACATTAATCTAGCTTCTGAACAAATCTGAACGAAAGGTTGATGCAGAACATTTATATGAACAGCAAGCTAATTTTATACTCGCCATTGATTTCAATTGCAAAATTTGTTGTTCTACAAAATGAGCATTTCTTAAAAAGAGGAAAAATACCGAATGATATATACAAACATCTCGACGGGGCATGCAACAAGGAGTATTTAATCTATATCAACCTATATATATAACTATATATAGGTTGATATTAATTTTGTAATTCTAATAAAACACTGCAAGGCTGCGTAGATATTACATGCATACTAGTGATAAAAAGGAATGGTATTATTTTAAATTGATGCATTGGCAAGAATAATGGACAAACGTGGTCTCCGTTACAATTGACTTCTATCTGAAATATGTACAAGGCAGCTAAAAACAGACCGTGTTCAAACAGATGTCACTGTCATTAAAAAGAATGAGCGGTAACTCCTTCCAACCACTTGAAACGTGATTTCTGATTTGAGATCGTTCCGATACAGAAAGCTTTGAACTGCTTTTCTTCTTACTGATATAGCGCCATCATCGGACTCACAAGAGACGAACGCGTTTTTTTCTTTTACCGTGGGTCTTTTACAGCGAAATAACTTATAACGTAACAAATAAAACCGAGTGAAACTGAATGTAAAATTAAAATCGAGTAACACAGATGTAGTCATCACAAAATGAAGTCACCACAACAATGATCCATTATTTTCTGAAAAATTGTTCATGGTGGAATTCCGGGCCATTCTTGTAACTAAACACAGGGGATTGAAAAGAAATTCATGGTGATGAGATGATCCTTTTGTCCGACGTGGCTTGATTGGTGTTTGTTGAATTTAAGAAAACCAGGTTCTTCGTACTGTGAGCGATTAGAAGATCTGGAGAGTAAGAGAAGATAGAATGATTAGTATATTAAGTATATCTTTTTTCAAAATGAACAAATTATTTTGATATTGTGGATGTTGATAAAATGAAATGCACATCATATTTTATATTTTGATTAATATGGTGTCTTTAGATGATGTATCAATACTGTGTCATGATATTGTCGAGGAGTGATGATGATGATAATGATGATGATGATCCACATCACCTGTAATTTGTATGGCTCCATCTATCTGTTTGAAACGTTCAATATAAGCCTTACTGGTATTTATTCTTCTAGTTGTTATTATTATTTATTGTTATTGTTTTTATAATTATAATTATTATTATTGTTATTTTTTAAAATATTATTTTTGTCATTATGATTATGATTATGGTTATCAATATTATGATTATTATATATCAATTGTTTTTATCATCATTTTACCAACAATGTGAATTGAGTAATGCCTTCATTTATTCATTCATAGCACTATTTTTTAGAAAAAAGGTATGCACAATCTGTTGAGTTATTGCAGTATAACTGAGTAAACGCTGCTCTATATATCAAATTGATTTATGCAAAGTATTCAGTATATATTAAATGAACACAATATTAATTTTATAAAATGCTTATAAAGACATAATCTTGAATATCTTTACAGGTATATACATATAAGTAAGAAAGGTAGGGAGCAAAAAAGAGCCACATGTACACAGAGAGTAAGAAATAAAAGAAAGAGACAGAAAGGTAGATAGATAGAGATAGAGATAGAGAGAGAGAGAGAGAAGAGAGAGAGAGAGAGAGAGAGAAAAGAAATAGAGAGAGAGAGAGAGAGAGAGAGAGAGACACACACACACACACACACACACACATACACACACACATACATACAAAGAGACACAGATAAAGAAGAGAAATTATAAAGGATAACGTAGTTTTGCAATGTTGCAGTCTCGCTCTCAAGCACGTGGAATATGTTTAAAGATCTAGTTGACAGTTGGGAGATTATTGAATACAAATTTTGCCCCCTAACAGAATAGATTATATAAATTGAATCTGCAGTATTTTATTTGCTGAAGATGAAGTACAACATTCGAAGGTGCGACGATTGATTGACCGTTTTAGATGTGTCAGGGGCAGGGATTCAATAATTCATTAACCTACATAATTATATTTGTATTACCAACAATAACTTGGGACGATAATGCTGCCTTGATAAACTGCCATTTTTCTTAGATTAACCCTTTATTAAAATTTATCTTCATTACACAGTTTCCCTGGATATTTTCCTAAACAAATGTAGAAAGTTTTTGTTCTTCTTCTAATTTTCATTTTGCCGTTCATCCGTACGTGTCGACAAAGTCCTCGGTGTGTGACGTGTCTTGTGAGAGAGATATCCCACCAAAAGTGAGTGTACGATAATAACTGCTCATAGCGCATGCTCTATTTTAAATTTCGTTCATGCAATAACGCAGCAGACAATGGCGATATACGACCACGTCTTACATCTATAGAAGTTTCTCTCATGAACGAGAGCATAGGTAAGGAAAGGGGCACGACAATTGCAATAAGTTATAGAAATGTATATTGACAAGTTGATAATCATTGTCGTAATGCCAGTATTTAATCACGTTTCCAGACGTAAAACCTGTGTTAATAAAACCCGTGTATCGTTCGCTGTCATCACTAAAGCATGCTTGTATTAATGAAAATCTGTCATAATCAAACGCTTTATTGCTTTATGTCTGTGATGGACTTGCTCTTTGTCTCACACCTACACACCTACTCAAACCGGTTATACGCACCGTCGCGACTCCCACAAATACACACACACACCAACACGCACTCTTTCTTTCTCTGTCTGTGTTTTCGTTCATCACCATCATCATTCTGCACTGCGGTTCTCTCTCTCTCTCTCTGTATGTATATGAAACCACTCACTCTCCTTTGCTCTTTCTTTCTTTCTTTGTTTACCTCTCTATCTTTAACAGAGTCCTCTCTTTTGCTCTCTACTAGACTCCCTCTCCGTGTTTTCTGTCTTAGTTTTTGCATCTTTCTCTGTATTCTATCTCTTCTTAGTTGGATATGATCTCTCATCGGAGATATATTTTCCATTTAGCGTACCTCCTTTATATTCCTCCTTCACGATTGGTCTAAAACTCTTTCACCATTAGACTAAATGAAAACATAGTATCTTACACTTGTCTTTCTGCATCACTTGGTCATTCTCACTCCCTCCCCCTCTCTCTCTGTCACTCCGTCTCTGTGTCTCTCTGTGTCTCTCACTTTTTAATGCTCACATACTTCCATCCTATCCTCCTCCCGTCTAAATGTATGAGATTCATCACATTCTGGTATTATTCCTCCTCTACAGTTCTCACCTATGGCTGTGCTCCCACGCGCCACTCTATCCCCTCTTCTCTCTCTCTCTCTCTCCTTCTCGCCTCTTTCCTCTCCCTTTGCCACCTCTCTTTCTCCCTTGTCTCTTCTCAATTCTGCAAAATCGCAGGATTGCAATAAATATTACATGTAGCTCATACATGCTATGTCACTGTTTAACCTCTATTCGCCATGTCATCCTCTTTTCCTTCCCTTTTATTCCATATCTAGCCCCTTTTAATTTTCTCCCACCATCTCTTTCAGGAATTAGCGAGGCGAACATTGGCAAATTTCCATCGATCTTAGCCTACTTTCCATAAATGATAAGGAAGCTGAGCCAAAGGATGAATGGGCTTTAATGTTTTTTGCCGCCTTCAACCGAAAATGGTTTGGAGGAGGCGTCAGTTCGACACGGATGTTTCTGCGGCCGTATCATATTGCGCGGGTGCACATCAAAGACAGAAATCAGTTTTTTCTTCTTCAATTGTGCTTTCGAATTAGAAAATATCTTGCCCTAATTTTTGTAAAAACCCTACGAGTGAAAATAAGTATTTCTAAAGTATAGTTAATAACTTTGAATAACTGATTTGTAACTGATTTGTAAGGCGCCGAATCCATTTGAAATCAAATGCTCAAGGCGCACTTGTGAAACACTCCCCCCGAAAGTAATAAAATACAAGAATAAATAAACGCATCTGCATTATTGAACAAGAAAACTAGAGTAGGCCTAATATAGAAAATACAGAAATGAAAGAAAAATCAATAATATGGCCAACTTATAAACCAGAAACGATTTTTTTTTGAAACTCGTCAAATGATTATAGACACAACAGAGCATAAAGGGTGAAGGCTTTGCGTGAACACAGGGTTCTCCCCATTCAGTATTGAGCATAGGAAGAACAAGAAATCTTCAGTTTGGAGAACGTAAATATCTGGACGGAATGGAAAGATTTATCAAAGTATAAGTGTACTGTGGAGCAGAGCCATGGACACTAGACATATAAAAAACAAAATATTGATATATACATATATGTATGTATGCATATATATATATATACAGTCTAACGCATGCAATGTGTATTCTCCAAAAATTATCATTCTGTTGCCTAGAAACGCGTAGAGATGAGAGGAGCTTCTAATCCAGACGGATGACAGGGTTTTGATCGAAATATTTTTGAATGATTTCTAGCAGGATGTTTGGATGAAAACAGGACAATAAGAGGAGCTTGGTCGGATTCCAGGCGTAATTCCTGTGGGGCTCCAGATATGCCGCTTTATTAGCAATCCCCCTCTTCATTACTCGCAACAATTACGCGCTTGCAAGTCGTATCAATATCTGAAACGTAATACACGGAGCGGGAAATAGAACATTTATTAACCCCGCACTGTCTGCGGTTGGTTCGAGGCAATGGTCTGTGGCCACATCAGAAGCGAATGCCGGCTATGATTGTCAGTATCCCCCTCTGCCCCCGGGCCACCCACTGCTTGAATTAGTGCAGTGAAGAAGCACCAAGTAGCGGAAAAAACCGCGCGAAAATCCAGTTAGCCCGGGCGATCGAAACAATAATTTGGGCGCGTTATTGGTGCAATTGGAATTTGTCAATGGACGTGAATGCGAAATCACCTTGACAGCACAGTTCTGTATTTTGCGAGGCCTACCGAAGACTCATCATCAAATCATTGTCAAGGTGTATATTAATACTAACCCAGCTTGACGTGTCGTCGCTAAGGTTATTTGGCGGGAGAAAGCCTGTTGGTTTATTAGAGCATGTGCTATTCGGAAAGGTCAACACCACTGACAGATTTTCTGTGGGTGGGTTTTCACATATACACGTGCGAGGGGGAAATGATGTATTCATGTTGAGACGTACATGTGAACTTTACTATTCCCTAATGTTTATACCTCATTAACCTTGATCTTTCCAATATCTACCATTTCCATACATTTCCAATAAAACACGAAAAAAAGGTCGAATATGGCCTTCTCCCTCATCTCAGTACCTAGCGGACTCTGCCCAATTATGATTTAGAAAAACGTCTCTTCTGCACAATGATTCGTGGTGTATTTAGATTCCCAAAGCTAATTGATCTTCAAAAACGTGATAGGTCATGCCTTAAGGACTATTAGTCTACGTCACATGTTTCACACCTCGAGGTTCTCCTCTCAGCAAGTCGTGGGCTGGTGAGGACGTGACTTACAGGGGATTCCCCTTATAACGAAACGTGAAGCCCTCAAACCAAACACCGCTTAATGCGTGCGTTGTTCCCCTTGGTCACCATTTACAATTTTTTTCGTTCCGCTTTAAGCAAGGTTTACAAATCTGTCATAGCTAGTTTGTACGTAGGTTCATCAATCTACAAACGTACCTTAACCTGTTATTGTTGGCATTTTGACTATCGAAACCCATTTCATTTTCGGAAGGACAAACCTTTCAGTGCTATGGCAATTTTTCGGTATACGAAACCATTGGAATAGCTTCATTTTTTGGAATATGTATAACTTAAAGATAAAGATGAGTTCTGGTCATGCGATTGCATTTTCAAAGAAACCGTGTGGAATAGATAAGAAAAAGTTGATCGTGTAGCATATAAGTATTGGTGTGTACTGCAAGGAACTGGAGTTGATTTGGCCTAGTGTTGGTTAAGAAACAAGCACTTGTACACAGAAAAATGTATATGGGATTACAAAAACAATGCATGAAAACAAAAGGATGTTGGAAGTAAAGATACAAACAAGAACAAATATTTCGAGGTATATATTTCATCGATTCACCAACAATTCAAGAGATATATTGGCAGTTTAGTACACATCTCTCAATGTCATCTGTTAAATGTATTTTTGTTGTTGTTGTTTACGTTGATATATTTGTTATTTGATTTCAAGAGCAAGACAGGATATATAACATGAACAAAAAATTGTTTGCAAAATTACAGACGACTATCCAACTATCTACAAAATGACAAAATGGGTGTTTGATGGACTGGGTTCCTCCCGCCCATTCATACCTACATTTTCGCGCCCAAAGTGAAACATTGGTAAGGGTATCCTAGGTATTAAGCTATTTATATATTACCACACACATCTGTTTGTCTGTTTTGTAGCCAGAAGGGCATTAGCAATTATCATGTTGTAAACATATATAGTTAAAGCGCTTCTTGCTCAAAACAGACGCAATACTAAACAATGACGCTCTAGTTTGAACCATAAACAACCTTCTTTTTACTCGACACTGCATTCTGGTAACCTAAATTCATTACGCCTTGGGATGACATGGTTGTGTATAGAAATTGTGTAGAAATTAGGCATCGTGCGTGTGTGCGCCCTTGTGTGTGAGTGTATGTGCAGTATTATACCACATTCATTTGAGTCGAGCTATGCGTATAAATGTCACAGACAATTAGATCATAAAGGGAATGGTGATCTACTTGTATCCTGCCTTTAACAATCAGTGTTAGTATACGACTGTGACTCATTTACTTATTGAAATTTCTTCGCGCAATATAAACCAGGTTATTTCATTGTATACGAGTTTATTGCTAATTTGGGTAATGGAGTGTTCCTTATTACGAATGGTTGCGTTACATACAAATAGTGTTTCAGAAATTATGACTTATTGTGTCTTAGTATCTTTAAAGTGGAGTAATATCCGTTTATAGGCGTTATTCGGGATCATTAGCGGACCTACATGTATGAATACATCTGCAGAAATCGATTTCAATCTTGCTTTTACCACTTTGATGGATATTTAAGGAGCGATGTCACGTAATAAGGATTGCTCTCATTTTCCAATTATAAGCCGAAAATGTTAAAACTCTAGAACAAATTTTGATTTGAAATCGCGTGTTTGTACAGTCCCACGTGCCTAATTGGATGTTTGGTATTTTATTGTTTGGGAATTTAAGCAAAATATAGACGAAATTTGAAAACGTTTTTAGTATTCCAAAATGTCACAAGCCAACAAAAGTGCATTATTTCGTATGCAGTCAATCACTCGGGATAACTTAAGGATAGTATCTCTTGCAATGCAACAATAAACATCATCTTCAAGTCTTTTCCTTTTCTTTACTTGAAATGTTTCTCCGAGCAAATTGTCTGTCATTTGAAGCCGTCATCCGATCACGGTTTTACGAAAACAGAGGAAACGTTTAGCTAACACGTCAACGTATCGATTCCAATCTGGTGGTTACTGATTGGTAACAAAATCGCAAAGATGATAGTGAGCCACTTCAGCCTCGCTCTCTTTCAACCTCTCATATCTAGTGTGTAATCTAACAAAGATGATTCAGGTACTCTGAAAATATTCTATAGAGACACAGTTGCGATTACATTACGAAAGCAACTGTCTCGAAGCACTTGGGAAAGGTTGTTGATGGGCGTTTAGTGTGAGGTTTAGAATGGTAATTTTTTTTTTAATTACTAAATTTATTAAAATTATTTAACCAAAATTTGCCAAAACTCACTTCCACTGCACACAGTGATGCGTATATGGCACTACACGCTTCTACATAGTTCGTATGAAAGTATTGTCCAAGCTTTTCAGCTCTTTCTTGTCATATTTTAAATATGAGGTTCTTAAAAAAAAAAACAAGGGTTTAAAATGAGAAATCCTCTTATAAAATGACACAGGTTTCACAAGAATGAAAGAAATCACAAAATATTGACATCTTTACTACTTATCACAAACGGATATTTGCAGTGTTTTCAAATATATTTTCGCGCTGATTCCGTAAATAAATATTGATTATACTGTGAATTTTGCTCGTAAGAATTACATCTGACGGTATGAAAGTTATCTAAACGACGACTTCGAATTTATTTTGTTAATCCTATACATCAATTTTTAAGGAGGGGGGGGGGGGGGGCATCAGTCGGTCACCGAAAGCTATCACGTATCATCAAATATATATATATAACGCTTAGAGTTACAATGTGTTTGTTTGGATTTTTTTTTAAAAATAAAAATAGGCTGATATCATATGCTTATATCGCATGACGAATCACTTCTTACACTGGAATACATTAAGAATGTAAAATGACATTATACGTTATTATATCAATTTCCCATCTCTCCAGAATCATTACGCAATAATTCCGCTCAAAATTTAACACAAGATCAGGGGGGGGGGGGGGGAGTATCAGTCCGTTAATTGAAAGATACAGTTTTTAAGAATGCCGTGTTACACATATGAGGACGTTTTGTTTTTAACAGGCTGTTGCTTCGGAAATAAGAGGCCTAACTTGATTTAGAAGGACGAAAATACGGCTCTCATTCGATCAATTACTCAGACGTCGAATCTACTTTGAAATGAACCATGAATGGTAACTCAATTTAAGGAGGAGAAGCTCTCCATACGGGAGTTTGTTTCGCGTCTTCAATACTGATTGGCAAATCGTCCCTACCACAAAGGAAATTTAAAGAAGAGAAAGGTAACGGAACCTAAGTAGAATAAGACAGGAATCCCTGTTGTACGACATAGAAGGTGTTCTGTACACATTTCATGGAGCATTGGCAAATCGGGGTAAGAGGGGTGAGGGAGTCGGGGTTGAAGGGGGGGGGGGTAAGCCTTTGTATACTTTTTTCTTGCGCGCTCGAAGCTTGAGTCTCGGTATATTTCACAGCGAACCTTTGTGGCATGCTCATATTTTTCAAATTTTATTTTTATTATTATCAATATCATAACATTATTGTTATAATTATCGTTATTATTTTATCATAAATATATAATTTTTTTTTGCAGGGGTGGGGGGGGGGGGGGGGGAGGGTGTCCCCTTTATTACCAAAAGTTGGATCCAGTATTGGATGTAATAGTTGTTTCTCCATTAAGTCCCTGGCACGTCTTAGCTTTACCGATGGACGATGTGATAAGAACACAAGTTCAATGAACCTCTTATGCAAGCAAAGACGAGGGAAACAGTTTGATAGATGGACTTATTTTACTACCCCCCTACCACATCAAAGTGGTCCCTTTTGGGATTTGAGATATTTATCTTATATTTTCGGATGTGTCAAAATGTATGTGGAAATGCAATAATCCTTTGCGCAAAGGTTTGTTCACATTTATTATTTTGATTTTGTGGAAATCAGATTTATCGCAGAAATGCAGCTTATATAGGCTTTCAATAACTTCTCAGGAGATTTCCTTAATGTTTTTTAAACAATTAGCACGACTATAAATTTGCAAATTAATTTCAATAAGCTGCAGATACTTTTAAAAACAATATGTTACAAAGTGTAGTCAATAGTATACCACGTCAACAGATTTATAGGGGAGGGGGATATTCGCACAGAGTCTAACGATTTTCTACTTAATTTATGATATATTTTGTATCCTAAAATGCTTTGATTACTTGTCGACATTTAAAATTGTATTATTACAAATATGTTTAATTTTCTACGATAAATTGTAAATGTCATTTAATATTCATTTTATGAAAGCATTATTGTTCATGTTTTGATTGACTTTTGGAATTATTGAAAAAGAGGTTGAAAATTGACAGTGCCCATTCGTAGGTTAATGCAATCAGGGTCCCTGACATTTTTTGGTCGAAGAGGGGAAGGGGGGGGGGCACCTTCTTTCTAGGTGGATACATGCGAAATAACGAGGAAAAATAGGTAGAGGACAGATTGTCCTAAAATTGTCCACGTTCGAATCCATTACCTCATTCCTTTCCGATTTTTTCTTCCAAGCTGTCTCCATCATTTGATTTCTATGTGAGCATTCCGTCAATTATTCCAGCGCCATTTGCTAGAGACTTTATTCCGTCGAAGATATAATATTATGGTACGGGTTGAGATTAGGATAAAGGTGAGATTTCTGGTAACGATTAGGGTTAGATTAGGTGAAGGCTGGAAATTAACAGTCGAACAATCGTCGCAGGAGCAACCGTCATAGGGAGGGGCGGGGCATTGTGGAAAAAAGGGGGGGGGTGGTGAGAGATGGGCACGTTTACCCTACTGAAGAAGTGTCTGTAATAATGAACATTAAGTCTTACCGATGTAAAAATAAAGGGATGTACAGAAAGCAAGGTGGATGTACTAGCATTCTATATTCATCTGCCGGCACCAGAGGGCGAACTTGACCATGTCCTCGGCGTAATCAATCGACTTGGATCCTCCTCGCTTCTGTGCTACTGCAGCTGGCTCAAAAAGCCTGTCATCTGTGTTTTTGCGCTGCAAAGAAAAGGATAGAAAAGAAATGGTATCATCAAACATGGAATAAAGAGTGTATGATGATACATATCTGTATTGAGAAGAACTGACCCTCCTATCGAGGAGAACCAAGGACTGGGGTTTCGTAGTCAAGTGGTTTTACCACTGAGCTTGGGGGGGGGGGGGGGGGGGGGGGGGGGAGAGAGAGTTGTTTCACAATGACGAATATCACCCTGAACTATGGAAGGTCGGCAATACCACTGCATTCATACCATTAGTCTCTCAAAGGAAGTGCAAGGCATGCTTGCAATCCAACAAAATATATTTTTTAAATTTCATTGTTGTAAGAAACATAAAATTACTTAAATGTGCACATCACTTTAGGGAATGATTGAGCAACTAGTGGCATCAACTGCACATCATAGTTAAGTGTGCTTTCAGTCAATCCTATTCTTTGTGAACCTCCCCAAGGAGGTACAAAGGTCGCAGGTTTGATCCCCGGCAAAAGCAAGGCATTTTATCTGCATTGCTTATCCCCACCTAGGTGTTAAATATGTACAAAGTAGGATGTGAACGTTTATGTGAAGGGATTGGCATTTGTGCGCCTGTAAAATGGCGCCTGGCTGGAATACCTCCCGAGCGAGTGCTTATTATTGTTATCATAATTATAACATTACAAACACGTAAACGGCGTTCTTATAATGGTTTGACACTTCATGCAATCGAACCTCTCTATTAAAATCATAATGCGATTGGTGTTGCTTATTTGCTGACAACCTTCATAGTGTTCAGTGATAACAGTTCTTGTATGAGTTAATATATTGGCCTACATTCGAAACATCTATTTACCAGAGACCAACAACGTTTATCTCGAGAATTCGAATGAATAAAACCAGAAGATATGCGAGACCAATAATGTCGGTCTGGTCGACTGTATAGCCAATTGCTGCAACATCAAGATTTACAGATTGAACTAACCATCTTCCTTCATGACAAGGAGTAATTATAATATCTACACATTATGAAGACCCATTTCTTACTTCGTTCTACTATGTGATGTACATGTTTGTGATCTGTATTTGGACTATTGTTGAAACTTCGTGTCAACATCACCAATTCAGTTTATTGATCGCACTTTTATTTGTCTTTATCATATAAATAATACTGCAAATGCAATGATAATATTTGTATCGTTATGCATGTAGACTTACCCTTATATACAACATCGATCATGACTGTCAACTTAAACAAAATCTCCTTCCCCTATGAACCTATTACTATGGTTAACTACATGAGACCAAAGGAACTCGTAAAACAATATGGCGTTCACTTCATTCACTGAGTCTCAACCGACTCAATATGAACACCCTTTTCCTTTCTTATAGGCCTCTCAGTGACTATTTATCTTATTATGCTGGAAATGCTTCATCAATCAATCCTTAAACAAACCTAACGCATTCTAACTAAATATTTCAGAAGTAATTGGAGGATGTGCAGTCAGGAAGTACACTATTAAATCAGGATAATTTTCCATCCACAAAATGTTCAAAATAATAAACACGCATATTGTCAGTGCATGACGTTGATATAGGAAAATGCTTTTTTTGGCGGACCATCTAATGACCGGTCGTGTTTCCCCGGTAACTAACATGACGATAACGATATAAAACCAAATGAGGAGCTATAGGGGGCCTATTTAATGGAGAAAATAGAAAATATAGAAAGGAGAAGGGAAAGGGAAAGTAAGAGTGTAAGGGGACATAGATTGTAAAAACAGGTAATACGCCCACAATCTCTCCTCATCCTATGATTTTTCGTTTCATTCCCCTGCAAATGCCCCCTGAAACCCAGTATGAAACTGATTCATTACGAAATGCAATGTCCTGTATCCATTGAGAAAACAAATTTGGGAGAATTTTTCTGCATTGCCCCCTCTTCCCCTCTCCCCTCGCTATGTCTATTGTGCCTTTAGGCATGGCGGAAGACGCTGTTTAATTATCAAACTCACCTCACAGACCATCACTCACCCATTCTTTGGAAAACGGTTATATATATTATGATAAGAGTTTAGGGGAAGTTGAGATTAATATTGAAGACATGTGATTGAAGACCATTGATAAGGTATAAATGCTTCATGAATTGTCTGGGCGTTAATCATTTATTCAAGATAGATGAAGATAATACTTTCATCAAAGGTGTTTTGCTAGAACGTAGTCAACAGCAACCATTTTTGATAAAATACTATAATGTGATAATTTCACCAAAAATTAAGAATAAAAAAGGGCAGGTGTATAAAAGAGAAGAGAGATTGATGACAGCTGATAAGGACAGGTAGATAGATAGAGATTGATTGCAACTGAGAAAGATATAGAGATACACAGATAGACAGAGAGGGAAAGAGAATAATAGAGATTGGAGAGATATGTTGATGGAATCTTATAAGGATAGATAGATAAAAGGAGAAAGGGGTAGGAAGGGATGGAAATATACTAATATAAAGCTAAAAAGTTACCGATGGTAAGCAAACAGCTAAATAAAAATGTTGGGAAAGCGATCTAATCTTATACGCCATGATGAGTAACTAACGCAGGTAAATTAAGTTTATTTCAATAGACTTAAAACTCCCTCTTGAAACCACATCTAATTACTTTACAGACCAACGTCATCGTATTTAAAGAACAGAAACAAGGAACATGATCAATGTAGAAAAGTTTTCTCCAAATTGATATTATAAATCTTCTACTACCATAATATAAATGACCATCAAACCGTTGTTTACTATTCGTCCTCTGCACCATGTGTTGCAGTGAAAACAGTTTCATATTTATTTTAAGAATAGGGGTTTGAATTTACTTGTTTTCCGTAAATGTCCAAAAAGCATTCGTGTTGATATAGTTGTACTTATAAAAATGCATGCATGAGTATTATAGATATTATAAGATACAGATTGGATAAGCAAAATAATAAATAGATAAAAAGTAGCTTCTTAACTGTCAACAAACTGTCCATATCTCCCCCTTACATCAGTAAACATTACACATGTATGTAGTGCTTTTACACTTATATAGCCTTTCTTAATCCTTACGCGCTTTCATTGTATATTTCTCAATTAAATTAGATGAAGTTATCATGAAGTTTGTACACTTAGACCTCAATTTTTTTTAGATATTTAAAAGGTCGTTATCCGATAAGGCATTAATCTACTCTTTGTCACTGCGTACTCAACATAAAAATGGTAGGAAATTTGGCCATTTAAAGCCATAAATATTCCCGAACGATTCACATTATATTCGAGTTTAATCTGAAACCAGAAATGCTTTTGAAGGGCAATAATTTTCATTTCAAACTGGCACTTTCAATACGATTGCCCAGGGCTAAATACACCTGTTCTTCGGTTCAAGAGCTGGGTTGCCATCTTGCAGATCACAATGTAGGCCTCCATCACAATTTTATGAGCATCATGAGCATACCTGTAGCATCACCGAAATGAAACCGATAAAAACAGTGTACCATTACGTTTTCTTTGAGAGCGCTTATTGCTCACTGGAATTGGTCATGTTTGGGATTTGTTCCGCCCGAGGATGGTTAAAATGCTGAACCAGTGCCTTGCAGAGGCATGACTATAGTATTTCCTAACCTGATCTCCCGGCATGGTGTCAGCGGCATTGTAGTCGCATGCCCTCGTACTTCAAGGCCACCATTGAACTTTTATAAATTCTTGCAGAGAGGACTTTTTATGAAGTTCACCAGGGAAATATGCGACATTGATTATAGTAAGAGTGGGCGAAATTGAGGGTAACGGACGACTGGGAGCTTTAAGTGTCGTGGAGTTTCAGAACAATCATTGCAATATTGAACATAAAGTGTGGTCATAAAAAGTGCAATCTAGACACACTCAGGCTGAAACCGAGAATACCAATTAAATCTTGAACATAAAACATACAAACGCGATATACACACATTTTCTACTTTATGATGGAAAAATAGCGCCAAATTTTCCCCCGTTTAATTACTTTGCAGTCTGAGAGAGACAATAGCCAGTATGTTATCAACGACATTCGTTGACACGTCGTATGATTGTTCAAGTTTAATTATTGATGTTTTACAATAATCGTTATGTGGCAAGATCTCATATTAGCTTGTATTTATTTTGGCGCATGCCCATTACCTATAAATGAAAAGTCTGTTCAATGCATTTTCTAATCAAACTGTGTTGTTGTGAACGGGAAGAATAGTTGACTTAACTGACTTAAAGTGGTGGAAGTGGGTAAACATAGACACAAGGAAAAAAACAGAAAATACGCATGCAATGAATAAATTTTACCCATGCGGTTAAAATCGTTATTGTAAAATGAGGCATGAAAATATACTAAAGCATTATTGATGAATGGGCTACGCGTATTGAACGGTGAGTAAATCAGGCATGATTCATTTCTTGCAATTATCGCTCGACCGTTTATACTTTGCAGGAGTGATATATTTCACGATCATATTATCTCGAGTTGGTGTAATACCTGAGCACATTAACAGATTCTGACCAAACAAAAAAACACTTTATCATAAATAGTAGACATTACTGACGTGTGTGCTTGTGAAGAAAAAAATAATTACGCAACCTAAAATCGGGGATTTGGAACCGTCTCTGCTCCCCAAATTTCGATTTTCTAAATCTAAATGCGACCATGAATTACTCGCCAGTCAATAGAGATTCCCCATTAATTATTATCTTGACCTTTAATACAAATTTCAAAGGGAAGATACGGTGGTATTATCAATCTTGGACCCCTTTGAAAAACAGCTTATAGCTGACAAGGGCAATCCATCCCATGAGTGGAGAATAAATAAATAAATAAATAAAATAAAATTACCTTCCATTTTGCAATTAGATAATTTTCGAATTGTTACATCGGGTAATAGGCAAGAGATTACTGAAACCGTTGTGTTTACATTCACCTTGGAAGACTCGTGATATCCGCTATCATCTTTTAATAATATTCATGATAGTTATGAAAATGGAACAA